GCCTGACCCCATCAGTGCCGACCCAACTACACCACCACGCGCATGCCTCGCGGCGGATATGCGCAGCAGCAAGAAGGTTTCGGTCATCCCTTGAGGGTGAGTCTAGCCCTGCTCGCCAGAAAGACCCCCCCCTTCACTACAACCCATGTCTAAGCAAAAGCTTGTCGAGGAGCGAGGGGAAGAAGGGAGAGTACACACTGGTGATGATGTTTTAGAGTTTTCAAGTGTTCCAGTGTCAGGAGTTAAGATAGCGCCGCCTTTATTTTTGCACGGGGTATTGATCTCGCGAACGTTGTAGGTCACCGTTGGAGCAGTGAAAGCAGGGACGAGTCGCCGTGGTGCGCAGCTATCGTTTGGTGTGAAGGACGTGTGGATGCCGGCTGCGTGCGGCTTCTTTGGTCCAAAAGTGTACTTTTTTTAAGATAGCATGATGCGACAAGCGAGAATCAGGCGTCCCTCTGTAGCGGGGATACCTCCTACGCAGCCCCCCCACCCACAACCACCGGTCAGAGCAGACCTTCCACAACGCGTCTCTGTAGCCCACACAGTCCATCCAACATCCCCATCGAAAAGCACGACGCGTGCCTGTACATACCTAGTGGTATTGATAGAGAGAGGTTGTTTCACGTCGCCTTTATTTAGTCGATGCGGGTGTGTTGTAGCACCCCGACGGTCGGCCTACCCTAGAGGTTTAACCGATCCAACCCCTGTGTACTTGACGGCGTGGCCATAATGGGGAGGCCGGTTTGAACTTACAACTGCTGGCGATACAGGAAGCCAAGGTTGTGGTATTTCTAGAGCACCCGCCAGCACTCCCGGTCGAGATCTGTGGATGGAGAAATTCAGAGAAATGCCCATCGCGGGTTCCATCTGACACAGAGAGTATGGGCCTGTTGCGGTGTCGCGTGGCGGTGGGATATTTGAGCTTCTGCTTTCTACGTAGAATCTCATGTGCTTCGTTTTCCATATCATATTTGGCGACACGGATATCTATTGGGGAGGGTCGAATCGCGACCCCCCAAGTGGATGACATGCTTTGGTGTCACCAACAAGGAGCAGCCGTCATGTCTCTTCCGTCGTAGGCCCTGCTCAGTGGCGAGGTGCCCGGTCTCTTCGCGCGCAAGGGTGTCCTCCGTTGTAAACTCCAGTCATTTCATGGAAACTGCGAGGCGTTGCTAAATTTGGGTTTCGTGTACCCGGTCGAGAAAAAATTGGGGCGCAGTCTAAACTCCTAACACTGGTTCGTAAACCGGGATGCAAGAAGAAATCGGGAACGGAAGAAAGTAGACAAGATTGCTGTTGTGTGGCGTGGTCGTCTTGCTGACACGTGACTACGGACTATCACTCGATCCGCCTGGCCTGGCTTTCCGGCTTTGCCTTGCTTTGCCTTACGTTGACAGGGTCTCAAGAAGCAGCTCAAGAGGCTCAAGGCCGCCTACGACGCGGCCAGCAAGACCCAAAGGCACGGCCAAGAGTACGAGGCAGTATCTCCTCTCCAGACGATGCAGGGGGCGGGCGCGGAGGGGTCCCGCAACATGAGCGTCGGCGGCGGC